CCACTGGTTAATTGTTCTAACCATCAGGGAGTTTCTCCTTAGTTCTAGGTTGCTTCTCTCCTTGATGAGTTTCTATCCGTTGCTTCTCATCCTGCCTTCTGCCGCTTTGGAGAATAGCTTGACTCCCTCTTCTTTGGGGCAGCCCCTGAGATATTGGCTCATGGCTATCGTGTCATCCCTCGTCCTCCTCTTCATTAACCAACATATATTCTGTCAGGTGCCGGGGAAATCGGGAGATTCAGGCAGTTCAAATGAGCATAAAGGTTTATTGCAAGCTTAAGTACTCTACAAAAATCTGAGCTACTAACGGTCAAGGGAATTAACTAAGAAGGCTTAATTAAGGTGGGCTGGATTTAGATTAAGGTGGGCCTGGTGAGTTGTGATGCGTTTGACCAGGGGTCCTGAAACGTGGCCACTTTAAGACGGGTGGACTTCAACTCCCAGAATTCCCCAGCCAGCATAGCTGGCTGGGGAATTCTGGGAGTTGAAGTCCACCCGTCTTAAAGTGGCCACGTTTCAGGACCCCTGCGTTTGACCCTCGGGCTCAACCTGCTCATCCCCTCCCTACATATTCTGTCCTTGCAATCATCAGAGGTCACCTACCCCGCGCAAAGTATCGCGGACCCTGTTGGCAAAAGCGCCTTTCGAGGACCCCCGTGGCCCCTTCCCCCATCCAAGCGAGACCTTGAAGAACCACGGCCGTCTCACCCCGACGTCCGGCTGCCTTCGCTGGCACTCCTGGCAGACTGACCGGAGGTCTCCGGACCGCCCGTCTTTTAAGCGTCTCCCTTAAAATTGAACCCCCTGCAGCGAGAAAGGAAATAGTGGAACGTAGGACGTTTAAAGGCTTCGCTGACTTTCCAGGCGGATTTTGGCATGGCGAAGGGGTTCCCCCTGAATAGGCTGCAAGGCCTGCCAAATTGGTGGTCACCCCCCCACCTCCACCCCCTCCTGACTGAAACCTGCTTCTTGAACATTTTCCAGGACGGTCAGGAGGTGGGTTGGCTGGCCTAGTCAGGAGAGGGGTCCCCCATGCCGGAACGGCCTTGAAAAGTCAGGTTGTGGTAAGTAAGAGCTACTAACAGGAACCAGGGGGCTGGGGGCAGCAGGAGGGGGGGGGAGAGCGAAACAAAGCGGGCAGGAGATTTGTTCCAGACTTGGCTGATTGTGGCCAGTTTTGATCGAGAAAGGAAGCAGGAATCGTACGCAAGCGTGGGGCCGAAAGCAGAACCGTCTCAGAAATGTAGGGACGAGCCTGCGGGCAGAATCGTGAGGGCGTCCGCAGCGCCTTTGCAAACTAATCGATTAAAAGGCCGAGGCTTTTGTGAAGGTGTGGTTGGTTACACCCCCCCCAAAAAAAAGACAATACTTGTAGTTCAGGGTCAAACTCTGGGGGTCCTGGGTGCTCTCACGGAGCTGGGTGTTCTTGCAGACGTTTCGTGACCCAACTAGGGAACATCATCAGTGCTAGAAGGGAGGTTGGTTTGCAAAGAGGGAGGGGAAGAGGAGGAGGAGGACTGTGGGGTCCTTGGTGCTCTCTGAGCTTGGCTGTTTTCTTGCAGACATTTTGTGACCCAACTAGGGAACATCATCAGTGCTAGAAGGGAGGAGGGAGGGAGGGAGGAAGGAAGGAAAGAAGGAACTGTGGGTTCCTTGGTGCTCTTTGAGCTGGGTGTTTTTTTTGCAGATGTTTTATGACCCAACTAGGGAACATCATCCATGCTAGAAGGGAGAGGGGTTTGCGGAGTGAAAGAGGGAGGAGTGTCTTGCCCTGTCAGTCTTGGTGGGAGTGGTCTTGGTGGTCCCTTGAGAAGGCTGTTGTTTACTGTTATTGATTATTTGTCTGAATTGGTACTTCTTTGATAGGAGTAGCACTGACAGAGCAAGCTATATGCATATAAGCAAGGAAATCCCCATCAATTGTTGGGTCATGAAACGTCCGCAAGAAAAAAACACCCAGCTCAGAGAGCACCAAGGACTCCACAGTTCTCCTCCTCCTCCTCCTCCCCCCTTCTAGCACTGATGATGTTCCCTAGTTGGGTCATGAAACATCTGCAAGAAAACCACCCAGCTCAGAGAGCACCAGGGACCCCACAGTCCTTCCTTCCCTCCTTCCCTCCTT